CATCTGCAAATCCACCTTCTCATTTTGTTCCCCTTCATGTCCAAGTTCATTTCACATGCCGAGACTTAACTTTTTGCATATAGAAACAAATATTCTTTGTGTGGATTACATCTCCCTCAACTTGAGTTTTTTTATTTTATTTTCCTGCACAATAAAAAGTATCCTTTCAAAAATAGAAGCATGCCATTTTAGAGTTGATCCAATCAAACATCTCCTTCAGGGCAGTAAGTTAATAACAAATGTCACTGAAGCAACGGATTGAGTTTTGTAATCTCATCGTGTATATATAATCTATTTATGCCACACTGCAGATTCTGAACAGGGGTTGACAAATAGGCAACAACATATTAAGTCAAATACCTATGGTGCCTGAGTTTCCCTAAGTTTGCAAAGGAGTTACGATTCCAAGTTCCATGATGGCAAACCACATGATACTAAGGACATTGCAATGGCAAGGACAAAGTGGCAATGAGGCCCACTAACAAATAAGCTCCATAGCACAGAGACCTTTTCTGTTTTACTCCTGTGCCTCCAGAATCCAGCATATTTATATACTAGTATTTTCTGGAAAAGCAGAATTCTGGTGATAAATAAATAGCAGTCACCTCCAATCCCTGAGCCCATTTCACTTGCTGTGCACTCTGCTGGGTAGTGATGTTGGTAATTTAATTTAACCCCCACAACAAGGGTGTTATTATTAATCATCACTGCCTGGTCCTGATAATAATGAGACACAGAGAATTTAAAGAATTTGCTGTAGGTCACACAGTCTAGTAAATCTAGAGCAGAGGCATGGACTATACAGTTTCTAAGAGTCTTATCTCATAATCTAGGAAGGGAACATAGTGACAACCTGGTTTCTTGTCTTGGTTCTGCCACTAACACAGTAATGCTGTGCAAATGATAGGTTCACTGACTACCAGAGTCCTTTCCTCTGAAATTCTGTGTTCATAGTTAATCAAGAATAGCCCATTCAGTTATAAATAATCTATCCATAACCTCTAGACCAAGAGACAATTGTTTATTTTGATGTTTTATGAGATATTCAAAGAACACTTATATTCATCTTAATTTCTTCAAAATAGTTTGAGTTTTGGATGACATAGTCCATTTTTATTAGGGTGTTGTTTTTTTAAAATTATTATTCCAGATAAATTCCAACAATGGTATGTGCCAAATTTATAAGATATATGACTCAGGTCAGACACAAATAGAGATTATGTTAGTCATCTTTTTATGACTGCAACCCAAATACCTGACATGAGCAATGTAGAGGAGGAAATGTTTATTTGGGGCTCACAGTTCCAGAGGTCTCACTCAGTGTTTGGCTAGCTCCATTACTTTGGGCTTTAGGTGAAGCAGAACATCATGGCAGAAGATGGTGCTCAGCTTATAGAAGCCAGGGAAACAGAGGGTGGGAGGGGCTAGAGATTAAAAAAAAAATACCCTTCCAGAGCATGTCTCCCATGACCTACTTCCTCCAACCATACCCACTGCCTACAGCTTCCACCACCTCCCAATAATCCTCTCAGCTCTCATGGATTAATCCACTGATGAGGTCAGAGCCTTCATGATCTAATCACTTCCTCTGAAAACTTGCTGTATTGAGAACCAAGCCTTCTACACATGAAACCTAGGGAAATTTCCTATTATAAACAATAATACAGATTGACTAAATAGGAACATGAACACTACCTACATCAGTTCTGTAATGCAACTGGTACAATTTGGATGTATTTTTCTTTTAAATTTAAGTGAGTTCCCTTAATTATTATGGTACTATTCAAAAAAGAATAAACCTGCCTATGTGAATAGCTTTTTGTGGAAGAACCTGAACTATAACCTATGAAAAACAGTTAAGATTTTGAAGGCAAAGTTTTCTGTGCTTGAATGTTGGCTCTTCTAGTGAATACTTATGCTGTCTTAGGGCACTGATTTCTGAACCTCAGTTTCCCTTATTTTATACAGAAATGAAGACACTTATAAGATATTTCCATAATAAGGTTGAGTACCACCTTTGTTAGAAATTAAAACAAATAAAAGTAACAATGGATTCCTTAAACACTTATTGGCAAAGATGAACACTTTGTATTGTATTTTAGTCTGAGTTTTAGACTGTTCTTGGTCCTTACATCACTGTCACAATGACACTGGTATCAATTTTATTTAACAAAACTCTTAACATAGCACTAACTCTGCCAAACACCATTCAAATTCCTTACAAATAATAACTCATTTCATCCCTCTCAGGACCCTATTAATTATGACATTCCCCCGTCTTCCTTCCCCTCTCCCCCCCCCTGCCCCCCCTCTGCCTCTCTCTCTCTCTCTCTCTCTCTCTCTCTCTGTCTCTCTCTCTCTACCAGGGATTGAACTCAGGGGCACCCAGCTATTGAGCCACATCCCCAGCCCTATTTTGTACCTACATAAAATATCATAAACATCTTATGTTATCCTCACAAAACTTCCGATTATTATTTCTACTTAAGAGATGAGTAAATAAAGAGCACGCACTCACTATGAACAATCATCATGGCTCCTATCCAGTATGCAGGTTCTACATGAACTGCTGTTTCATTTGTAAGGGAAAAAAGTCAAGCAGAGCCCTCTATTTCCAAGCCCCCCCCCTCTCTCTCTCCATCTCTCTCTCTCTTCATTTCTCTCTCTCCCCCCCCCATTCCCCCCTCTCTCCCCTCCCCTCTCTCCCCCCTCTGCCCCCGGCCACTCTCTCTCTCCATTTCTCTCTCTCCCCCTATTCCCCCTCTCCCCCTCTGCCCCCCTCTCTCTTTCCATCTCTCTTTCTCCCCCCCATTCCCCCCTCTCCACTCCCCTCTCTCCCCCCTCTGCCTCCCCCGCCTCTCTCTCTTTCTCTCTGTCTCTCTCTCTCTCTCCCCCATTCCCCCCTCCCCTCCCCTCTCTCCCCTCCTCTGCCCCCCCTGCCTCTCTCTCTCTCTCCCCCTCTCTCTCTCTCTCTGTACCAGGGATTGAACTCAGGGGCACTCAGCCATTGTGCCACATCCCCAGTCGTATTTTATATTTTACTTAGAGACAGAGTCTCACTGCGTTGATTAGCGCCTCACTTTTGCTGAAGCTGGCTTTGAATTCGTGATCCTCCTGCCTCAGCCTTCTGAGCTGCTGGGATTACAGGCGTGCATCACCATGCCAGGCTCCCTTCTCTCTTTTGCTGCCACTTGGAACTTTATCTCACCAGCTTTTCCATGTCATTTTTAGCTTGCAAAAACACTTTCCTGTTAAGATGTTAACTTTGATGTAGAGCTGTACTTTAAATATCTCATTGAAAATGTCAGTCACTAGAGCTCACAATGTGTGATATTTCAGGCACAAGAGATTTTGTGTGTGTGTGTGTGTGTATATGTGTATATATATATATATATACATATATATATATATATATACATATATATATATACATATATATATATACATATATATATATATATATATATATATATATACCTTTATATATATTTTGGATTTTATGATGAACATACCAAGGCATATATTTTCTAAATCTATTTGGGCATAGGTTAAGTGTACCAAGATGCTGGATAGGAAGTGTCACTTGAAATCCAGGGTATATACTGACCTCTAGCAGAAGCCAAGGGTCTCACAATTAATTGCTGAGGCTATAGAATGTTAAATCATCTAAGGGATATTAAATGATGTGGAAAACGACAATACTGTGAGAAATCCTTCATACTTGGACTGGTATTCAACTATCTAAATACATCATGTGGCTTTTTAAAGCTAGGCTTATATTAATTATGTGATGATAGCAAAATATAACCATGACATTTTTCCAGGGTGACATTTTCTAGCTACAATTAAAATTTAAAACATTTGCGTGCCTGGCTTTCATGTGGATAAAAGAAACTCAGGGTTAACAGTCCCAATCATCTTCATTAAGAAGACATTTTCCTGTTTTTGTTAAGTAGTATACTCAATTATTTGTTATTTAGCAGCATTTGAAAATAAATTATTATGGATTGAAGTGACACGAAATTGTTAGAACAAGAGTTTTCCTATCAGAAAAATACTTGCAAGATGAAGGGTAAATCATTCAACCAATATTTTTTTGAGCATTTGCTATGTGGTCAGATACTGAATCAAGGATACAGTGGTGAGCAGAAACATTTATCTTTATGGGTTTTATAGTCCATTGGATGAGAAGGAAATGGTAATCAATTATATATAAATGTACAATTGTCCCTCGGGCCATCATGGAGAGCGCATGTTGCTTTCCTATGCTATGTCAATGAGTAACACATGGAACTGACCTCATCTGGAAGGGTTAGCAGGGGAGTAGAGGGACACAGTTGGAGTAACTTTGCAAGGCTTATTGAAAGGCTTGAATTCATACCCATTCAAGCAGTATTTACAAAGGCATTTTCCCCAAAGGAATAATTTAGGTTCAGCTAAGCATATTAGCTACAAAGACAATGCATTATTTTTATCACCAAAATATTCAAAACAGCTAAAAAATCAAAAGTAAGCTGTTTTTGTTCAGTTTATTATGTTATCAAAATTTTATCAACTACCAATTCTTTTTTAAAAAATAGAAAAATTATTGTCATAAAAGGTATTCAGTGAAAAGTGGTTGATTATACAAGTCAGCAATTTAAAAAGCCTTTGCCATCACCGTGACCTTACCATTTCTAGTTAGTCAATTTATCCTATTGGATTTCAAATATACCAATAATAACAGTGATAGTTATATCTTTAGTAGTAGCTATCATTTAGCACATGCCAGCCCTGTGTTAAACACTTTCACATCCATTATTTTGATTGATTTTATATAAATCAGTGAAATAGATATTGTTAAATTTATTTCTTTTTGTGCATGGACATTTTTAAATAAGTCAATACAGAAGTGTATTCCCTATGCAACAAAGAAAGAGTCCTTTCAATACTCATGCTGTTATCCATGAATTTCCCTACTGCATTTCATCTAAGTGAACTCCTACATTCTTTTGTTACAGCATTCTGCGAGGAGGGCTGCAGGTATGGTGGAACATGTGTGGCTCCTAACAAATGTGTCTGTCCTCCTGGATTCACAGGAAGCCACTGTGAGAAAGGTAAATCTAGCTTTTTTTCTCTTCTTCCTAGGTAAGGAGAAAGATGTGGGGGAGGGTAAAACATAAGATGTTTCTCTGGGAGTAGGTTTCTGTGGGTTGACTTGATACATTGTGTTTTGATGGCAGATGTGGCTCTTCCAAAGTGGGTACCATTTGCTTGCTTCATTAATAGGCTTCCTCCTCTGAAATACTGAGCTTTGGTTGCCCTCCCTCCAATGTGTGTCTCATTTAGCAAGGTCAGGCCTTTCCTCTGCTATAGTTTGCAGTGTGCATTCTTATTGCTAATTAGAGATAAAGCCTGATGAACTGACCTGCCCCACTTATCATCAATTGGGTAGCATCACCCAGGACCCTTGGAGTTATAACAATCTGCTGCGTCAACGGAATCTAAATTAGCAGCACATGCTCCTTGCATAAAAGCACATTAAATAACTGCAGTGGCAGGTTTATTGGTATGCTTGGGATTTTATTCTAATATTGGTTTATTAGGTCATTATCATTCATGGACCTCGTAATATAAGTCAATTAGTATTATTAAGATTGTAACATGTGCACCTTTCTATTTGTGGTGTTTATACTTGGCATTATTTAGTGAAATCAAGCTTTCCTGATGATTTGAAAGTTCTCCTGTATACAAAAGAAATTTGATGTCCATGTCAATATATGTGTCAATGCAAGCAATGGGTTTAATGCCCTGTAAAAGTAAATATTTAATTGTGTTTTCCCATGTTTTCATAAGTTAAAGTTACTGCATTATGTGATTTTGAGTCTGGATATCACACTTGGTGCTCTTTGTATCATAGGATAGAAAAAGGAAATAGGATACTATATTATTACCTCTGTTATTACACAAAGAGAAGAGTATTTTGTCTGCTGCTGAGAATCTAAGCAAAGCAGTGGTGTCCTTTTCTTCATGTTTGAAAGTTTATGAATTTAGATAAAATTTTTAAAATTTGCCCATTTACTCTACTCTACCCATGTACTGCCTATATAAGGCAGCCTAAGTTTTTTAAAAACCTGTCAAATTTTACTACATAAATTATTCAACTAGGAAATCAATGAATGATATTAACACCAATGTTTTCATATTTTGTGACATTATCAATAAATCAAATCACATTTATTAAATAATAATTGTTTTTTTAAAGTATAAAAAGACCAGATACAGCCTCTGAGCAGCATGAGAAAATTATCACATGGAGTTAAAGAATTGTTGCCAAAAGCAAAGAAATTTAATGGAAATGTAGCATACATGCCCTTATTGCAAATATTTAATTTTCATTAAGTTTTCTAAAATAAAAAAAATATATAAAGGACTCTCATTACTTCTAGATCTCCTATATTTCCCCAAAATGAATATATAGGAATGGGTGAGGGCAGATAATGTCAATAATGACAGATATGACTGTTAATGGAATGCATTTACTATGTACTAATTGTGCATTGGGCTTTTTAAATGAATATCTTAATACTGAGAGCTAACAAACAAAAGGCATAGATATTTTACTCCTATCTTATAGATGACAAACTAAAGCTTAAGTTCAACAATTTTTGCAATTACTAAACCCAGAGTAAAACTCAACTTGCATCCCATATTGCCTGTATTATCAACTATACCTGTTTCTCAAAGATAATGTGTGGATTTCTTGTTAAAATGTAGATTTCTGGATCACCTCCCCAGAAAAACTGAATTAGAATATTGAGGGGTGGGTCCACAAATCTGCATTTTCATTGAGCATTTCCAGTTATTATGCTATTTAACCACAATCATGATTGTAAGGTTCTTATTATTTTTATATTATAAATGATTTGGAGGGGGAAATTGTTCAAACCAGGGCTTATGGTCAGTGGAAGCCCAGGAAAAATTGATTCTGGTTTCTTGTGCCTTATTGATTTGTCCTTTGTCCTTTTCGCCACTCAATAAGTGAGTGATCAAATCAGTGCTTACACTCTGGCCCATTATGTGGAACACCAAATATATAGAAGAAGAAGAAATCAAAACCAGGGGCAGAAAGAAAATAGAGATAGGCAGGCCCTGGGTTTCTAGATAAATGTTAAAGTTGAGATCAATAATTGCATATTCTTGGATTCATGGGCAATCATCACAGGGAAAAAGTACATTCAAGTTAAATAAACTTCCTCTGTGGGTGATGCTTCCCTCATCTGCAGCAAAGCCATTCCACTGGATATTGGCCAACAGTCTAATTCTGTTCATATTTTTTCATTAAAAAGATGAAGTAAATATTTTCCAGTCAGCCTTGTGCAAGGGATCTAGATGAGTGATAAGCCAAACACTGAGAGTTTGTGCCATGTTGCCTCTAAATTATTTTGTCATGTTGATCATTAGCAATAAATATGAAGTAAGCCTATTTGCCATTGGAAATAGTCACACTAGATGCCTTGAGAACCAGAGTGTCAAAGGAAAAATGCAGTTGCGTTGTGAAGGTCTTATGACATGATCCCACTAAATCTTTTATTTATTATCTTTGTTGGAGCTACATAGAGTCTACTTACACTTAGTCTTAAATGTATTACCCTTGCCCTTGTCTGGTTATTGATTTTATTTATTGCTTGTGATACTTAGCCTTTCAAAATTCAAGTATAGTTAAAAATCATTGAAATAATTTATGAAAATGCCTATCTATCCCACTTGCTATTATGTAACACAAAAACGAACAACTCTGCCTTTTTTTCTAATGATGAGATTTTATTAAATTTAAATTTCCATAATCCACTAGGAATTAGCAAATATTTAACCTCTTTTAGTTTATAGAGAAGACATCATCTTCATTCTTCTCTTATCCTTTGACTGCTCCTTCTCTGAGCCTTTAACTTTGATTTAGTTTCACAATTTTCACGGAGATGTGTAAAGAATGAGATAGATGAACAATCATTAAGAATAGTATTTTTGGAAGGATAATTACCTGTGATAAAACTTCTCTTCTTAACCTCCCTAAGAACTAAACAGATAGGATATCATGGGAACATAATGTAGCCAATCACAGAAAAAAATGGAAAAAGTAACAAGTCCCCTTAGAGACTTTCCAAAATGCAAAATCAAAGAGCTACATTAAATCCAGAGATATCTTAATTGCCACATCACAGCAGAATTGAGAGAGTCTGTCTTCTACTTGGTATTTCTACTTGCAAATCTGCAAGCAACAAGTATACTTTAAACAAAATGTGTGGAGCTATGTCTAGATCAAAATTCTTTAACTTGGAAATTACTTATATTTTGGATCAGGTAATTCTTTGTTGTGGAGTACTGTCTTGCACACTGTGGTATATTCAGTACTGTCACTGGACTTTTTCAATTAAATGCCATTAGTGCCTACATCTGTAGGCAGAGTAATAAAAAAAAGTCTTCAGACATTGACAGATTTACCCAGAAAGACAAAATTGACAAAACTGCCCCCATTGAGAATGTCTAGTCTAGATGTATGTAGCATTTTACACACACACACACACACACGTATGTTTCTGTGTTATAATAATATGAAAACTAAAAACAATTTTTATTGACAAAATGAATTTTTAAGCATCTTTTGGAGATTTTTAGAGGTGCTTAGGGTTGACTATAATTAGAAAATTCTTGACCATTCAAGAGCCAGAGACTGGCTGATGTCCATCATGTGCTATTTGGGCAAACTTTCTTATAATCTTAAAAACCAAATTGATGTGGAAATTCAGCCTGTTCTATGGCAACTCTCACCTGATGGAATAAACATACTCCAACCACGTCCCAAGAATATTTGACTCCAACCCTTATGTTCTCCTGAAGGAATAGAGGATATTTGACTCTATTTTTCAGTAGAAAAATAATTGAAAACACAAGTTGATGTTATAAAAATAGCAGACCTTGACTTTTCCTACAATTGTTTCAGAAGTGGGTTTATTTGTTGTAATTCAATAAACTCACATAACCATTGACCCTTTCATGGTCTCTAAGCCTTTGGGAAGCATAAAAACATCTGATCAAAAATGTTCAATAGCACATATATAAACAATAGAGTTTTATCCAGTCACAAAGAAGAATGGAATTATATAATTTTCAGGGACATAATAAATTACAAAGAAGTTTAACATTATTATCCCTTCACAATATAAGTTTTAATAGTAATTATTTTCCTATTTTGCTTGTCTGAATTTTCTATTTTTTGTAATAAATGTAAATTGTTTGTAATAACAAATGATATTTTTATTCTTAAATTTACAAAGAAAACATAAACATCATAGACAGACTTACTTTTTTCTCAGTTATTGGGCCTCTTTTAACCTTTCTTAAAGGAAATGACTTTTTTGCAGGATAATTTTTTCTAGTATCTTTTCTATGCCCCAGGGACTTTCATGTATTCAGATAGAAAGTAATTTTTTTGCCTGGAGTACAAAATCTATTTACCAGGATTAAAAAATGATCAGAGCCAAAGATTCCTCTAGTCTCCCAAATTTTAAATCTTGCACCTATTTTGAGTGATTCCTGTCAATATTCATCTATTTGTGATTGTTCTGCTGACCTCTATACCTGGGGGGTCGGTTTTAAAATCTTTAAGAAAGTAGATCATAATTTTATTTTCACCTTAAAGAAGAAAACCTTTCTTCAATTTCCAGGTATCACAGGACTACGAATAGGAATAGGTAAATTGGATAAAGAATGGATGGAAAAGTAATCTTTCAAATTCATAAGCCAACAGGGGAGTTACTTTACTTTTCTAACTTGGCCTCTCTCAGGATGATGGCACATGGCACACACTCAGTAAATGGCAACTTCTGCTATTAGTGTTCCTAATCTTGTTGTTTAGGTGCCCCCCCCCAAAGTAAGCAGAATTTTGTGGGGAGGTGGATATGAAGATTTGAGGTTTCTCTGGGTTCTTTTCCGATTGAACTCACCTGTAAAAGAATAGATGCTGATGCTCTTTTTAAATTCCTGTAAAGTCAGATGAGTGTGAATTTGGTTGAAGAACTTCCTGAACTGGATATATTTCATTTCAAAAAAGTAAGAC